CTGACTACCTTCTTAGTAAAAGCGTTACACACTTCAATCAGGATGTAAGCACTATAAAAACTATAAAACTATAAAAAAAAATATTTTTTCTTGCCACTTTTTTTTTACTGTAATATATTTTCTGGAAGTTTCTTTCTCAGTTTACTGTTTTTTGTAAGTAATTTTTTTCAGTCCCATGTAAATATTTTTGCTGTGCATACGTTGCACTGACTTGTTTACTGTAGTGAAAAAATACATTACTGTAAAATGAAGTTTCAACAGCATGTGTGTCTGCAAATATTTCTGTGCATGTGAACAATCTGATACATATTTTAGTATTATGGCAAAGCATACTAAAGATATGAGTGCTTTTCATTATGCCCAACAGTGTGTAGTTGTTTAGGCAAAAATCTGGTAATGGAATATAGTGTGTGCCAGTTCATGCAAAAGTTTGATTTTGATAATGCTATGTATAGTTTCGGTTGCAGTGCTTCATTTTGCAGGATATATGAGGTATTTTGCAGTTTGAGTGTGTGGTTTTGTGAATTGTGTTAAGTATTTTGATAAAACCAGACTAGTTTGCAAAATTGTGTGATAGCAATTGAAAAAAAACTGTAATAGTTAAAAATAGCAGTTTGAGCTTTCTTCTTATTTTATACCCTTTCCATTCAAAAAGAAACTCAAACTCAGATTTGCACTCCTATCCACATGTTCTTAGGAAATAATTTATTTTTAAGTTGTTGATGTGATCAGAGAATTAGCTCGGATGAACATGAAACAGAAAACACCATGGGCCATATCTTGCACCCGGCGCAAATGACTTTATACACAAACGCATTGTCTCATTCCTATTTTGCACGCTCGCAAAGCGGGATTTTCCCCTCCAGAGACGCACGTCGGTAAACTAGGAAATGAACTTGCGCTCCTTGGGCGGATCGGCGCAAAAAGGAGGCGTGTGTCAGCGCAAACATTCCCTGGTGCTATTTTACACTTCCAGAAAACAATTGCGCCAATGACCAGAAAAAACCTGGTCTAAAGTCAGTGGCGCATTGCGCGTTGTTTATAATGCTATTTTAAGCGCGCATGCTTGCCCAATGTAGCGGGTACACAACGCGCATACACTGATTCTCTCATCAACACAGATGCAGTAGTTTTTATTTTTGCAAATCATACATTATAACAAGGAAAAATATTAACACATGAGGGAAATCATTGTGGTTTACATGAAGATGAAAAAACCGAATTACCCATTTTTTAAGGCTAATTGTAGTACTGAAGGATCAGACCTGTTTGCCCAATAGTGGCAAGAAACATACGTATAGGCTATAATGTTTAACCGACACTGATGTGCGAGAGTTTCTCCCATGCCCATACAACGTCACCTCTCTGTCTTGTCCTGACAATAACGTCTGTGTCATCGGTTGTGAACGCTCCTGGCGCGCGCCTGGTAAGCCCGCCGTTATAATAACAATCCGTCATGCAACATGCGCACCTGTTCTTAAAGGGTAAGTTGGATGGCGCTCGGATTGGTTTATTTCACGTTACGCCCAAACCACACCTATGAATAATGAAGCTACTTCAGACCAACCCCTTTTAGATTTGCGCCAGGTGCAAGAGGCATATATCCCGCCGGGAAAATAGCAACAGTGCCGGGACCCGCCCACAAAGTTACTTGCGCCATGCGATTTGACACTTGCGTTTCAGATCGTTAAAATAGGGCCCCAAATGTATTATGCGATTTATAACAAAATAATGTGTCTTTTTGTTCCCTCTACTTCTATATGTAACACTCAAAAAATAGCACATTGGTTGAACATGATTTAATCATGGACAGTGGTTCCACCTGATTACACACCACATTATCTTAACATCAATGGATGATGTTCAACCAGCTTGAAATATTTGTATTCATTTAACATGAACAGATGACATTCACAAAACATCGATTTAAATACTTATTTTTAACTTGAATTAATGTTTTTTATTGAACTTCAATTAATCATGTTATCTTAAATTTAATCCTTGATGTTAAGCCGATATGTTTACATCAATTCCAATTAATCCCATTTAGTCAAGTTACAACTATGTTATAAATGAAATAATATCACCCGTTTTCAATGATGATGACTAAAATGATTCAATGACTACAGAGGCAGCAAATATGTAATAAATTCTTTTTATTACATATAGGCAACAGTTTAAGCAGGTGTCACATTTTCAAAAACATTTGAAACACTTGCAACACATTAAGCCAGAATTTGACAATTTATATAAAACACAAATGTGTACAGAAATGTTTTCCTTTACAGTATAAAATGAAACAAACAGGTTTACATTCCTACATGTACAACAACCCATTAATAATAAAAAAAAAATAGCAAAGTGTGTTTGCTTTTAATGTATTTCACAAAAAGACAGTAACCTGCAATTCCAAAGCAAAAATAATATTAAGTTTGGGATATGTTTGTTCATCGGGCCTCAACTGAAGTGCAAAACTTTGTCAAACTGCTTGTGTCCATCAAGCTGTCTGTAAATGTATTCTAATTCCAAAATGTGCCTGGATATTTTTTGTAAAGGAAAAGCAAACAGAGTGTGTGCTTAGTGGAACATCTTTGAAAACTATTTAAAATACTTTGTCATTCAAACGTCTTTCCTTGAAGAACAGTCAGAAGCCATTAAAACCGTGTTTAACCCTAAAACTGTATTCTGGACAAATTTGGGCAAAATAGTTTTGATTATTTTTTTAAAAATACTTCCCTTGATCTCAGCGGTACAAGACTTGGCTACTTTTCCTAAGTTTGCCTCCAGAACACACAATTTTTTTTTGACTCAATTCTACAATGTTAAGTGGGTGAAAAAAAAACCCTCCTTAATCCCGTATTTGCCCAAAAATTGGCACCCTATAGAAATGAATGGGAAAAACTGCAATTTAGAGCATTCTTTTTTTGTAAAAAAAAATAATAGATCCAATACAATGCATATCTATCATACACACAAATGAAGGGCTGATCCTGTACAACATTTTCATCATGGCAAAAAGTCACACTCACACTCACACACTCTCTCTCACACACATACACACACACACTTTGACGTGCGCCTCTCTCTCTCAAGCTGGAGTGTGTGAGTGCGCACGAGAGAAGAGAGGCGCGTGCGTCGAAGTGTGTGTGTGTGTGTGTGTGTGTGAGAGACAGAGGGAGGGAGAGAGAGGGAGAGGGAGGGAGGCGCGATAACTGAGCGTGTGTGTGTGTGTGTTAAAGTTCCCTCTGAGCGCGTGCACTTCTGAAGCCACTGCCGCGCAGAAAATAATAAAATGCCACGCAGAGGACCGTCGCGAAATTTGTGGAAATCCATTTGATTGTAAGTGAGAAATAATTCCAGTGCTCTAGTAGTCAACCGCTATAGAGTGAAAACTGGTGAAAGCAGTTTACAGCTTTCATAGAAAGAGAATGATGTGAGCATGTGTGATTGGCAGTGAGTCCTGTGTGCGGACAGCTCAATACGAGAGACAACGAGAAACAAAAAGACGTGAAATAAAATCACATCGTAATGTTTAAAGAAGAGTGGTTTGACCCGCGTAAAGTCAAAATACATCATTAGTTTAAATCGATGTTTTTGTGTGTGGGGGAGTTTTAGGCATGGCTAGATTACCATTAAAGAGTTACAAAGGTACAATCTAACAAAGGTATTGTTTAGGCATATATTTTATTATACTTTAAGGCAAAATAAAGAACCTCACAAGGGTATTGTTTAGGGCTCATTGCCATTAAAAAGTTTGAAACCCCTTGCTAAAGAAAATATTGGAAATTCATAAGTAATAAACAATCATTTAACTTTGATGGTTTAATGCTTCCTGTACACAATTCATTGACTGTACAAAAACATTTTATGGTTTTCCCAAACCATCTCAGTGTAACAGCTTACTTTTATTTCTTACTATATTCTTTTATTGTAAAGAATTGAACTGTCCTGCAGAAGCTTTTGTAAATTATATTTCATAGTATTTCTTTGTAAAGACTATACAGTTAACAGCACTGGAAAAAAAATATCAGAAAACCTAAAATTTGCTTCATTTAGTAACTTCTTAATTAACTTTTTGTTTTTCCACAAATATGATTTAATACCAATACGTTACATCAAGGGTCAAATAAAATATAAATGGCACATTCAAGTTAAAAATTAAAACGGAATATTGAAAACATTGTGTTTCTACGTATGCTGTACAGGTCAGGTATAAAGAATATTTTTGCTCAGGTGTAGAAAAAAGATCATCAAGTAATAAAATTAAAGAGAACATTGAACTGTGTTCACGATCATAGGCCCTGTCCCAAATGCACACTTCATATGAATTTTCAGTCTTGTGTACTTATATCATGTGTCCGTTAAATTCATGACTTTCTGTAGGGTGTCTCATTTTTCATTTTAGGTTTCAGAAGGTTGCTCACACATACTTTGTAGTTAAAATGTGCCCTCGATGCACACTTTTGTGCCCACACTGTCGAAAAGAAGTGTCCTGTAGAGCTTGCATTAGTCAAAGCAGGGTTACGTTTTTGCATGTAGTGCACAATAACCCTAAAGGCACCAGGGTGGCAGTGCCACCGGCTTCTTATATATATATATATATATATATATACGTATACAGTGTATATATATATACAGTGTATATATATATATAGTATATATATGTATATTCAGTATATATATATACAGTATATATACAGTATATATATATATATATATATATATATATATATATATTATTCTGTCCTCTGCATGCGTGTACGTCGAGCATGCATATACAGATAGCTAAACACTATGTAACGTGATGAAGAGGCTTCAATGACCACTCAGAGGATGTCCATTATCTTCTTTACTTGAGTGCAATCATGTTGTTTCTCTCAATGTTACATTATTTTTGTGAAACTAAAAAGAAATACAAAAATACTAATTAGAATATAACCAAAATACAATTACTACTTACACAAATTTACATTGACATCGTTAAAATAATTGTTACGAGATCACATGGCGATCTTTGAAATGTCCGTATAAAGCACGTGGAACCGCTAACGTGCGTCTAATATACTCATCTTAATAAGATACAGATACGAAGAATATAATATTACAATTATATGAAATAAACTTACAAGCAAAGCTTCTCTGGGGCATTACACAACAACACTGGAATCCAGAGAAAACAGCACGCGATCTCTGCTGCGCATAACTGGAAAAATGGCTACTGAAGTTTGCGTGATTGTCACTATGAAGTACAACAAATAAAGTTTTTCCGATGGAAGTTCAACTAAAACTAAAGCAAACAGCGCCATCTAGTGGGGAAGAATGGATAACTCTAGACATAACATAATACTCCCCGTCTGGTATTAAGCATAATGCCATACTTGAATTTCCAACAAGTGAATTCGAATTCACAGAGTAACTTAACACATAAGCAAAACAACCTCTGTAATAGGCCTTAAAAATGTCTTAGCAGTTCCACTCTTTGTAACTTTGAGTTCCAGTTTCCTGACTTTGCCATCTGAACTGGGGATGGCTTTGGTGACCAGAGCCATTGGCCATTCGTTCCTTTTCACCTGATCATTTTTCACGAGGACCAGGTCTCCCTCTTTGATATTAGGCTTGTTGTCTTGCCATTTCTTGCGCGATTGAAGAGATGCAAGGTATTCTCGTCTCCATCTTTCCCAGAATATGCTTGCGAGGTACTGCACTCTTTTCCACTGCTTCCGATATAGATCGGCACCTTCAAAAGGTCCTGGAGGTGCGTACGGGGTACACACCTTTTGGTTGAGGATCATTGCTGGAGTGAGGAGAAAGGGCGATTCGGGGTCAGTTGAAATGGGTACGAGAGGTCTTGCGTTGATCACAGCACACACTTCGGCCATTAGAGTTGACAGCATTTCATGAGTAAGATGTGAGGAGCTGATTTGAGGAAGCATCGAGTCTAAGATTCGTCTCGAAAGTCCGATCATCCTCTCCCATGCTCCTCCCATGTGGGATGAATGAGGTGGGTTAAAGATCCATTTGCAACCTTCCTCACTGAGGTATTTGGTCACGCTTGAATCTTTGGTCGAGACCACAAGTGCATTCAACTCTCTGCATGCTCCTTGGAAATTAGTACCACAGTCGGATCGGATGATCTTTGCCTGGCCTCGTATGGCGAAGAAACGGCGAAGCGCATTAATGAAACTTGATGTGTCCATTGACTCAATCAGTTCGATATGAATGGCTCGCACGGATAAACATGTGAATATTACAGCCCATCTTTTACTGAAGGCCTGGCCCCCCCGGGTACGGCGAGCTGAAATATTCCAAGGACCAAACACATCCAAGCCGACATTAGTAAAGGGTGGTTCCATGCTGATGCGGTCAGAAGGGAGGTCTGCCATTTTTTGTTCAGCTGTTTTACCTCTTTGTTTGCGGCAAGTGACACACTTGCGGAGGACACCGTTGATCTGTCTTTTTGCTCCAACTATCCAGAATCCTGCAGAGCGGATTGCTCCTTCTGTAAATACTCGACCTTGATGATTTACTTTCTCATGGTGATGATTTGTTAGGAGGGTTGCTATGTAACTATGGCCAGGAATGATGAGAGGGTGTTTCTCTCTGCTGAGGAGTGTGGACTGTTCTAGTCTGCCACCAATTCTTAGGAGTCCGTCCTCCAGGATAGGGTTAAGTCTCTTGAGAGAACTCTGCTTAGAAATGTCACTCTCATTTTCCAGACAAGTGATTTCTGCTTTATAAGCCTCTCGTTGTGCACACCTGATGATGACGCTTTCAGCGTGAGTCAGTAACTCGGGCGTGGACGAACAGTTGGAGTGGTGCCAGCCGCAACACGACTTTTCTTTGTTTCTGAAAGACTGAGCGACGTGAATAAGAGAAGCAACAGCTCTTTTTAAGGATCTCCAGGTTGAAAATTTTTCAAAGCGGTGAGAACCAAGACCAGAAGTAGGGTTTAAACAGGTGGTGACGTTTGCTCGCACTTCCACATCTGTATCTGGGTCGATACGATTATAGGAAGCTTCATTCACAGGGGTGGGTGAAGGATGCCGCAGAAATGTAGGACCGGTGAGCCAGTTGGTTTCAGTCAGACGGCACGCAGGAACTGGTCTAGTAGCAACATCCGCAGGGTTTTGTGAGGTTGGAATGTAAAGCCACTGTTCTGGGTGAGTGAATTTTCGAATTCTTTGAACTCTGTTACTGACGTACACATAAAAGCGGCGAGTCTCATTGTAGATATACCCAGTGTTTCCTCTAGGATTTTTCCAAGCTGTGGGGGCAGGCCCATTTCCCCGGTGGGGGGGCCTTGTCTCCCCAAAGTATTATAATCGATCATGCGCATCCCGTGTGCAGAATGATGCACTTGAAGCAACACCAAGTCACAGCAAGCAATGCTTCACATTGAAAAGAACATAGCGAAGGAATTATATCTATAATATGCTTAGTAGGGCTGGACGATTTGGGGAAAATGTCATATTGCCATTGCAATTACTGAGGTCAATATTGCAATTGTGATATGCGATTCCGATATAATAAAATGGTTTCATGAGTCCAACTTGCTTGGTTCTAAAGTAAAATGCACACACAGATTAGTGATCATTCTGTGTATTAATGTTTATTTCTCAACTCAAGCTACAGACAACAACTAAATGATTGATAACACCTATAATGATCAATAAACCATCAACCAAACCATCATTACAGTGAAAGCTATCAACTTTTTAAAAAAAAATTATTAGGCTAAAAAAAATTTTTAACAAATTTTAAATTAAGTGAACTTCAAACAATCCCCACATAAACCCATAATAAAAACCATATTTACCTGTGCCCTTCCTGTCTTAACAGGTAGGATACAGAAATTGAATAAAGTTATCAAACAGTATGTGCTACATGAATTATAAATTATATATAGAATAATCCTTATTAAAGCTACAAAAGTTCTTTAGTCAAGATCAGTGAGTAATTTTCTAATTTCCCTTTATTCTTTTAACTTGACTGAAAGAACGCTTTATTCGCTGCTGGCGCTTTAAGAGCACCCGTTGCCGAGACGCGGATCTCACATGCGCCTCATAGCACAACTCCTTTCGTCCTTAAGACTTTTCTTACGTTATGAAGATACTCGACAAAACGACATTTTGGCATAATTGTGTGTGTTATTGTTCGTTCAAGCTCGAAAGAAAACTGTAATCTGGCACGCGTCAGTGCATGCGCATTATGGCGCGCGTCTTTCTGCGAGTCTCATTTAGGGCATTCACAGGCAGCTTTTCAGTTCTTGTCGTGCAAAATGCGAAAAGGCATTTGCACGAATAAGAACAGGATCGTGTAACACTAGTCAAAGGATGATAAAAAAGAAGAGATGCTGCGTTAATAGCCCTAATTTGTTTATTTCATATAGAAAAATCGCGGCATTTTGCGTTATATAATTGCATAGGTTTGAGATCGCTATTACGATTGCGATATGATTAATCGTGCAGCACTAATGCTTAGTGTATTCTATATGCAACAGTTTTTTTGAGCCTTTTCTTTTAACAGTTTTAAATTTCAGTGCGCATGAAGAACAATAGCACTCTCTCGACTCCATGCTGTAATCTTACATAAAGGGAATGTGAAAGGTATGGGCAATAAACTCCACTCCAGCAAGATAAAGTCATTTTATGAAAACCATAGACCTTTATGCTTTATCTACAAATGAAGTATAATAATGGGAATATTGACCTTGAAGAGAGTGTCGTCGTGTCGCAAACGAACGCGACGAGCTGTGTGAATTCTGAATGGAGAATGACTGAGGCGAGATGACTTTCCGTTAACTTTAACTTAGCGACTAAAATTACACATTATGCAATGACTTTAGAAGTCTTAGAATATAGGGTGAAAACTTGATTGTGCTTTACAAAGTTTGTTATGCCTTTAGTGGGGCTTAACAAAATAACATAATACTATGCAGAATATCGGACGTCACTGAGAAGCTGCAGCCGTGGCGGGAGGATTTTAAGTGTGGCGGCCCGCCACGGGAGAATGAATGTAGAGGAAACACTGTATACCCCAATACAACTTTGCTGTCTGTATAGAACAGTAGGGTGTGAGGTTTGATGTCTAGTTCCTGGACGATTTGTTCAGCCATTTCGACTGCAAGGACGGCCGCACACAGTTCGAGTCTGGGAACCGTATGTCCAGTCTGTGGGGCTAGCTTGGCTTTTACCATAATGAATCCAACTTGACACATTCCATCATGATCCGTCACTTTCAAGTATGCAACAGCAGATATGCTCTGAACAGATGCGTCTGAGAAGATGTGAATCTCCTTTTTTACAGATTGAGAAATGGACATTACAGTGTAAGCTCTGGGAATTTGGAGCTGCTCCAAGTCCTGCAACGATTCTCTCCAGAGTTTCCATTCCGTTTCCTTTTCAGCTGCGAGGGGGCAATCCCAGTCCGACTTCCCATTCGAAAGTTCACGGAGTAGCAGTTTCCCTTGGATTGTGATTGGCGCCACCATACCAAGAGGGTCAAACAAGCTATTTACAGTCGCCAGGACTCCTCTGCGTGTGAATGGCTTGTCGCTGAGGTTGACGTGGAATGTAAAAGTATCCTTCTGAAGGTCCCAACTCAAGCCAAGACTGCGCTGTAAAGGGGCTGAATCAGTGTCTAGATTCAAATGTTTTAAGTCTTTGGCATAGTCGGCTGGAGAGAATGCGTGCATCACAGCAGGGCTATTGGATGCTATTTTGTGGAGTCTCAAGTTAGAGATAGCGAGCATATCTTTAGTAGCCTTAAGCAAACTGATAGCTTCGTTGATGGAAGGAAATGACTTGAGTCCGTCATCAACATAGAAGCCTCTTTCAATGAAATGTCTCGCATCAGCACCGAACTCCGCCTCCCCATACAAGGCAGCACGTCTGAGGCCATAAATGGCAACAGCTGGGGAGGGGCTGTTGCCAAAGACGTGGACTTTCATGCGGTATTCTACCATACTTTGGGAGATGTCGTTGTTCTTGAACCACAGAAAGCGGAGGAAGTTCCTATGATCCTCTCTGACGATGAAACTGTGGAACATTTGCTCTATGTCCGCAGTGATGGCTATTGGCTCGTGCCTAAATCGAAGTAGGACTCCTAGCAGACTGTTGTTTAAATCTGGGCCTGTTAGCAGCACATCGTTCAAAGACACACCATGGAACTGGGCGCTGGAGTCGAACACTACCCGAATTTGACCAGGCTTGCGTGGATGGTATACGCCGAAGGAGGGCAAGTACCAGCACTCCTCCCCTGGTTTCACAGGAGGAGCTGGCTCGGCATGATTGTTATCAAAGATCTTCTGCATAAACTCTACAAAGTGTTCTCTCATCTCAGGTTTCTTACGTAGTGTACGGCAGAGAGAGTTCAAACGGCTCAGGGCTTGCTCTCGATTGTTTGGAAGCCGTTGTCTACGTGCACGGAAAGGAAGGGGTGCTACCCAGCTGTTAGTGTCATCCATGAACATTTCTTTGTCCATTAACTGAATGAACTGCCTATCCTCAATTGAAGGGGCTATTTTTTCATCATTCTCCGTTCTTTCAAAGACTGAAGTGGCCGGAGGGCTGGGAGCAAATTGGGGCAGGTGAGAGACTTTAACACTTGGCTGTGCAGTTAATCTCTCCTTGAGGTAGAGTTTATTGGGACAAGGACTAAAGTAAGATGGACGCCCGTCTTCTAGAATGTTTGTGCGGTAAACACTAACAGTTGAAGGCTTGTGAGCAGCCCCAAGACACACCTCACCAACCAAAACCCAGCCCAGGTCCAGTCTCTGAGCATAGGGAGCATTTTGTGGCCCATTGCGTTGCTCTCTTACCTTGTGGACTTGGAGGATATCACGTCCAAGAAGGAGAAGTATTTGAGCATTTGGATCTAGAGGAGGGATGAGATGAGCAATAGATTTGAGATGTGGGTGGTGTTTTGCCGCTTCAGGAGTGGGTATCTCTGACCTGTCTTCAGGCATGTAGTTGCACTCAATGAGCGTAGGGAGTGGTACTGAAAGACTGCCATCTACAGGATGTGCGATGAAGTCCATAGCCCGCCTCCCAGACATTTCTGTGACTCCAGCGCATGTACGCAGAGTGTAGGGAAATTCTGTGCCCTTGAGATTGAAGAAGTCGAAGAATTCAGCTCTGGCAAGTGAGCGATTACTTTGATCATCGAGAATAGCATAGACGTTCAGTGATTTGTCTGGCTTTCCCTTAGGGTGAACTTTGATGAGACAGATTTTCGAACAGGACTGTGAACTATTTGTATCCCCACAAACCTCTGTGCATTTAGAGTTGATGGAAGGGTTTGCACTTTCTCTCTCCCCGCCATGCTCTGTGTTGGGTGTTTTTAGTATCCATGGAGGTGGTCCAGGATGAAGAGCTGTGACATGTTTGTTGCTGCCACACTCTGTACACTGTATGACATTTTCACAGTCTTTGGCCACATGCTCATTCGAAGAACAACATCTGAAGCAGATATTATGCTCCTTCAAAAACATTTTCCGTTCCTCAATGCTCTTAGCTCTAAAGGCTCTGCACCGTTTGAAAGGATGGGGTTTTTTGTGAATGGGGCATTGTTTGCTGATATCAGGCTTACTGTTCGGCGAATCAGAAGAGCTGGTTGTCTGTGCAACCTCAGTTTTGTGAGTAGAGATGAAGCTTTTCAGTGGTCCACCTCTTCTTACGGAGTTTTCAGGCTTTACAGGGGCAGCTGTAGATGAGTGGAGTGCGAAACTTGGGTCATTGCGCATTTAGGACTCCCTACATACAAAATCTGTGAAAAATATGAATGGAGGGAATGGTACCTGGTACTGAAGCTTATATTGAGACCCTTGGGACATCCACTTTTCTTGGAGATTAAGAGGAAGTTTGTTGACAATAGGTGCCACGCCCCTCGCTGTGTCCAGGAAAGAGAGCCCGGGTAAGTAGCCGCCAAGCTTTGCTGACTCCACTTCTTTGAGCAGATCTGCAAGTTCTCTTAACTTTTGGGGTTCTCTATTGCTCACTTTAGGGAAACAATCCAGCTTATCAAAAAGTGTTTTCTCAATAATTTCAGCACTCCCAAAGCTTTCTTCTAGACTGGACCATGCCATTCTACAACCGGCTGCTGGATCAGCGACATGCACAGCTCTCAATCTCTTGACTTGTTCTGAGGATTGCGGTCCCAGCCACCTTGTCAGAAGATCAAGCTCCTCGCTTGGGGTGAGCGATAATCCTTCTAAAGCACTCTTAAATGATGACTTCCAGGCTAAGTAGTTTTCCGGACGATCATCAAACTTACTAAGCCCTGAGTTCACAAGCTCACGACGCACAAGGTATCTGGCTATTTCACTCATACCTGCATGGTTTGTCGAGGGAGGCTGTTGCGTAGAACCGCTGAGATAGGAAGTCTGAGGTTGGCTCACTTTCTCTGAAACCGGAAATTTTACATAGTCTTTATGAGAGATTGATGTGTCTGGCAGGTTGCCAGGAGTGTGCTGGGGAAATGATAACCGTGCACTGGGCATTCTTAGCTGGTTTACAGTGTCTGGTCTAGGAGTTGGAATATGTTTAAGTCTGTCAACGTTCTGTGTGGCATTGCTCATGATGACAGCCGTGGTGGGAAACACAGGCGCGATCATAAACTGTTCGTGATCACAGGAGTCAGACTCTGCTTTAACATGAGGGAGACGGTGAAAACTTAATCCAGAAAGACTGTCGACATAGTCCTTTGTACGCTTTTCAATAGTCTCCGGTGGAAACGCTGTGACATCAGTAGCCGTATTAATTTCTCCTGACTCAATCTCTAATGCAGCCGCTTCAAGAAACTCAGCCTCTGCTGCTGCCGCTGCAAACTCCTTTTTATGCTGTAGTGATAACAATTCAGATTCCAGTTTAGCTTTTTCTAGAAGTACCTCAGCCTCTCTTTCCACGAAGTTTGTACGTGCTCTCACTGCTTCTGCTTTAGCGCGTGCTCTGGTTGCTGCCATACTTGCTGTGGACAATCTTGAGCTCTTGGAAGATGCAGATATCACCGATCTGGTTTCCAGTTGACGGAGTGAGGCATTAGAAGTGGACAGCTGTTGTTCTTCAGTTTTCTCTTTAACATCCATCTTGAGTCAACTGTGATAAGTGGAATAACTGGATGGCTGTCCTTCTCAGGAGTTTTGTCGTCAGCCCGTCATGGTGCTTTTTCACTATTCTGTCCTCTGCATGCGTGTACGTTGAGCATGCATATACAGATAGCTAAACACTATGTAACGTGATGAAGAGGCTTCAATGACCACTCAGAGGATGTCCATTATCTTCTTTACTTGAGTGCAATCATGTTGTTTCTCTCAATGTTACATTATTTTTGTGAAACTAAAAAGAAATACAAAAATACTAATTAGAATATAACCAAAATACAATTACTACTTACACAAATTTACATTGACATCGTTAAAGTAATTGTTACGAGATCACATGGCGATCTTTGAAATGTCCGTATAAAGCACGTGGAACCGCTAACGTGCGTCTAATATACTCATCTTAATAAGATACAGATACGAAGAATATAATATTACAATTATATGAAATAAACTTACAAGCAAAGCTTCTCTGGGGCATTACACAACAACACTGGAATCCAGAGAAAACAGCACGCGATCTCTGCTGCGCATAACTGGAAAAATGGCTACTGAAGTTTGCGTGATTGTCACTATGAAGTACAACAAATAAAGTTTTTCCGATGGAAGTTCAACTAAAACTAAAGCAAACAGCGCCATATAGTGGGGAAGAATGGATAACTCTAGACATAACATAATATATATATATATATATATATCGTCGCTGCCCGATGAAACTCACGTAGGTATGTCCAAAACGGTTACTTTTCAGGAAGTGAAAAAAACATGTATTTTCAAAAGTATCTGAACGTAGTGTTGTCATGCTTGGCACAACATCTTTAAATGTAACCATATTCTTGCCAGTGTCATGATATAATCCACATTTGACCCAAAATCAAGTTTAAATGGACATACGTGCATATTGTACAGTAACGGTGGTCGATATGCATTCTTCCGATCATTAATTAGAATGACCAAATCGTGTTTCATATTGACAGATAAATAGGCTACGGTCAGTTTATCAAATACGCTCTTTACGCTATTAAATGTCTCTTGCAAACTATGAAGAGACAATGACTCAAATACACTGACATGGCGATGCTAGACTGATACTGTTGTGCTTTCTCGTGTTAAGCTGGATACAGTGTCCGTGGAGGCGTGAAGAGAAGCACACAACAAAGAGAGTCCGTTCAGGAACTTTACTGAACTTATTCAGACACAACTTTACATCAACTGTGTTTGTATGCTCTTGCCCAGCGCCGATGGGTTATATTCGACCATCTGCACCGGAGCCTGCGAGCATACTCACGCTAAACGTAAACAAGCAGTGAATTAATCCCTACGTAATGACGCAACAACATCTGATTGGCTAATAAGAACACATTACGTATACATGTAAAATAACTGTAACAAACTATGTATTTATTTAACTAACACTATAACACCACCCCCCTTTTTTTTAGCTCTGCAGAGTCCCTTCTGCATCTCTTGAGGGGAACAATTAACTTTTTGTTGTCTTCTATTTCCTTTGTTAGTCCATATAACGACTTGGGGCTCGAACAAGTCGCCCCCGTTTTGTCTTCATCCCCTCTTTTCCACAGGGATTAGGGTCACAGTTAGAATCCGTTACAAGAAGGGTCCGAGGCTCTTCCGGCACAGTGCTGGCAGAGGATGAAGGGTTTGGTGCTTCTGCCCCTGTGGCAACAGGTACCTGAGCACTTATTGGAATCAGTGAGCCTTCCTCGATGCAGGTGTATTTGTGTCGCAGACGCTGCATCCAGGCAGGTATGTGGTCACTTAGATAGGGTTGTAAGCGATCATGATGCAGTACTTTCTCACTTCGTCTGTCCCTGACTCGGTAGAGCACTGGTCCAAGGCGTGCTGTGACGACCAAAGGCCCTTGCCATGGGGGTTGGAGTTTTGGACTGTAGCCCTTTCTCCTGCTACTGACCCTCACTGACACAAGATCACCTACTTGATAGGACTTCTCTCTGGCTCGTAAGTCATAGACCTTTTTCTGGCGAGTCTGAGCGGTGCGCAAGTTCTGACGCGCTACCTGATGAGCCTGCTGCAGATTAGCTTGCAGTTCTTGGACAAACTCAGGTGTACTTTTAGCTTCCCTGGTAACCTCAGCCGTCCTTAGCCAGATGTCATGTGGCTGGAAAACATCTCGCCCCAGCATCAGCTGATTTGGTGTGAAACCCGTTGCTGAATGTACAGTGCTCCTGTATGCTGCAGTGAGTAAGGGAAGATGTTCATCCCAATTCCGTTGACTTTGGTCCACATAACACCGTATCATCTGCAAGAGCGTTCTATTGAATCTTTCCACTTGCCCGTTCGAGGCCGGATGATATGGTGTGGTCCGGGTCTTGGTTACTTGTAACAGGCGACAAACCTCCATGAACAGCGAACTCTCAAAGTTCCGTCCTTGGTCAGTGTGAATCTCAAGGGGAGCCCCAAAACGTGAGATGAAATCAAACACCAATCTCTTTGCTGTTGTCTCAGCTCCTTGTTCGGGGACAGGAAATGCCTCTACCCAGCGAGTAAACTGATCAATTATAACGAGGATGTACCTGTTGCCTGACTTGGATTCTGGAAATGGTCCTAGGATATCAAGGTGGAGTCGGTCCATAGGTGCTCCAGCCTGGTAGCTCTGGAGCTTGGCCCTCCCCATGGGACTTGTTGACTTACAGGAACTACACTGTAGACACTTCTTGACAAAAAGGCGTACATCGTTCCCCATATTGTACCATTGGTAACACCTGCGGAGCCGCATAAGCGTCTTTTCCTCCCCTGAATGACCTGCTTGAGCTGGATTGTGACAGGATTGGAGAACCTCATTTTTCAGGGAAACAGGAACAAGTAAGCGCAGAGATGACATACCTCCATTTAAATCATCCCACCGGTAATAGAGGACCCCATCTCGCATCTCTACTTGAGACCAACACAGCCAGTATTTGCGAACTGCTGGGCTATGCATCATGACCTCTTCCTTAGCAGGCAAATAGCCATCAGACATCCATTTATGGAGAACTGAAAGGTCTGGGTCAGCTAACTGTTCTTCCCTGAGACTTTGCGAACTCATCGGTTGCAGCCAGTTTGAGGAAGGACCTGGGTTGTCATCACCTACTTCATCTACATCACTGGGAGTGTTAGCGCAACTATCCTCATTCTGACGGTCAAGGGAGTGTGTGCGTCTCACCGCCAAGGGAATGACATCATCGACATCTTCCTCGAATCTGGCCCATTGATGGTGGAGCTTCCGGCAGAAGCGACAGCCCTTGCATGGCAAGCTATCTAGCTCTCTTCCTGCTTGATAACAGTCACAAGGTTCTTCATTCAGAGTCATTCGAGACAGAGCATCAGCGTTGGAATGATATGTACCTGGCCTATGCTCGATGATGAAATTGTACTGACTGAGTTCTTCAAGCCACCTAGCCAGTTGGCCCTCTGGTCTCTTAAACCTGTATAGCCACGTTAGACTGCTGTGATCCGTCCTGAGTAAGAAGTTAGACCCCAGCAAATAATGGCGGAACTGTCTTGTGAACCTGACAACTGCTAGAAGTTCCTTACGTGTGACACAGTACCTCTGGTGAGCTGGTGTGAGGAGACAGCTGGCAAATGAGATAACTTTCTCTTCCCCCCCACTGCAACTGTGAGAGAACTGCTCCAATGCTCTTGTTGGACGCATCAGTGTCCAGGACAAACTGTCCAGATGTAATTGGGAACACCAAAATGGGTGCAGTTGTGAGGCTCCTTTTAAGATGTTCAAAGGCCTTTTTCTGCTCCTCTTCCCAGAAGAAGGAACTCCCTTTCTTGAGCAGCATCGTCAAGGGTGTGGTGATTTCAGCAAACTTGGCAACAAACCTCCTGTAATAGTTGCACAAACCGAGGAAAGACTGGAGTTCCTGGACACTGGTTGGGGTCTTCCAGTTCCTAACGTCATCAATGAGGGCTGGATTGGTCTTAATTCCTTCGCCACTCACAACGTGACCAAGAAACAGGACCTCATCTCTTAGCAGGTGGCATTTCGAGGGTTTCAGCTTTAGTCCATATTCCTGCAACCTCTGAAAAACCTCTGCAAGCCGCTCCATACACTGTTCCACATCTTCACCGAAAATGATTATGTCATCAAGGTAGATCAGTAAGGTGTCCCACTGCAACCCTCGTAGAACCAACTCCATGGCCCTCTGGAATGTGCTGGGTGCGTTACACAACCCAAATGGCATTCTGGTGTACTCATATAGCCCATACCTCGTCACAAAAGCAGTCTTGGATCTGTCTTTTCTATTCATTTCAATCTGCCAATATCCTGACTGAAGGTCAAGTGTTGAGAATGTCTTTGCACCACCCAGCACATCCAGGCATTCCTCTATTTTTGGTAGGGGATATGCGTCCTTTATGGTAAGATCATTAAGCTGGCGATAATCTACGCACCAGCGGACCCCCCCATCCTTTTTTCTTACAAGGACAATAGGGGAAGCCCATTCTGAGCTTGAGGGGACAACGATACCTGAATCCAGCATTTTCTTGAGATGTGTTTCCTCCTCATTCCAAAACCCTAAAGGGGTACGTCGTACTGGTTGTCGAACAGGCTTAGACACTCCTGTGTCTATGCTGTGCTGCAAAGCAGAGAACTTCCCAAGGTCATCATCAGTTGCCGCAAAGACTGTTTGATATTCACTCAGCAGAGCTACTAACATCACTTGTTGCTGCTCAGTAAGGGTTTCACTCGCGCCAGTGAACAACTGTCTGAGGTGCTCAGGAAGGTCTAGAGCGTTTGGTGAAGACACCCTTCTTATGTGATGCTCACCAGGAGGCTCATTGGCAGGATATTGTGTCGTTGAGTTCCTGTCTTTTGCATACAATGTAGCATCACCTGGAACCATGTGCGCTATCTCTCCCTCCTCCTGAGCGTCTGGATATGCTTCGATAAGCACACCCAAACAGACTCCCCGTAATAAGGGCCTACTGGAAGCTGTGACATTGCATAGCCTGACTGGGAT